CAATATTAATTTAAACACAACTTTATTTTTTAAACGATGGATGGTGAATTTTTTTCGACGGAGTTATTTATACAGAAAAGTGCCGAAATCTGGTAAAATACAGGAAGCCGATTTCCATTAACTATGCAAACATAAGTCTTTTATATGGTTGATCGTGAAAAGTTTTTTGTTATCAATAAATAAAGGGGCTTGGACTTAGCCTTTTAATGGAGTAATTGTAACTATGATTAGTTCCAGTACTATAAGCAGGAAGACCTTAAAATTGCCACTATTGTATTAAAAATTACTTAAGTTTTTTTATAATATGGAAAACTTTTATATGTTTAAAAAACAATTTTAAGAAAAAGCTCCTTTATTTCGATTTGTAACTGGCAGACTTTACTGTAATTAAATGATTTTTAACAAAAATTGAGTATAGAAAACATATGATCAAATTGCTACATAATACATTTCTTTAAGGCAAAAATATAAAAAATAATACATTATTACATCATTTACGATACTCAATTGTACATAAAGTTGATAATGAGCATTAATACAATGCATTCAGGTGATTAATTACGAATATGAATTAATAAACGGCATTTATAAATATGTTACGATTATAACAATTGCCTGGACCTCCCTAAAACTTTGGTTTCCAAAAGGTTGAAATATTGTGAGTAAGAACATGATTGAGAATAAATGCATTACAAAATTTACATCAATAAGTAGAGTATTAGTTTAAACATAAAAGTATACCAAGCTCAAAAGATAGTATAGACACATGATAGATATGTACATGTTTAAATTTCTTGGCGCTTGGTTACCAGGAAAAGTGTGTTTGTCCTAGCATAGAACAGGTTAGCAAGCGTAAAGTTCGTGACCAAATATATTCACTAGATCACCGCGAATTAATAAGGTCTTTGTGTTCTGTAATAGTAAACAGTCATACAAAGAACGTTTTTCTGTTAACAATTTTTATCTTGTCGTTCAAGTTATTGGCACAAATGTAATTATATAATCAAATTTTAAATAAATATGTCTACTTCTAGAATCTTCAATAGTGAAATAATAAGACTATAGAAAGATGTAAGTTTTCTGTTGTTTACCTAGGAAAGGTTTTTCACGTTTGTATTGGGAAAGGTGCGAATATATCAGGGGGTTAATAAGTTTTTACAGAATGTCTGTAGCATAGACTTTGTTTAAGACAGGCAAAAAACATAGTCCACACTGTGTCAAATATTTAAAACATAAGAGTAAGGTACTTTTATTATATAATGTTCTTTAAAAGTTTAAAGAGTACAAAAAGAAGGTGTACAGAAAAAAATAAGGTAACATGTTCCCAGGTTCAAGTAAATATAATATTTTGAAATGAATATTCTTCAGATGTTTTATGATACTTTGTATTCTAAAGAATAGGAATAGGTGAGGTACGATTGCTACTCACTCAGTTTCCTTTAATATTATTAAGAATTGCAACTGCCATTGTAAGTTTTCTTATTTTTAAACAGAGACCAATTGGCAAAATCTCCTAAGCCTACTGTAAACAGCCCAGAGTTGATTAAAATTCTTTTGTTTATTAAGCCCTCAAGGTGGGCTTCTGTTAAGATTATTCTTCGATCATATATATACTACTGTAAGTTACTCAATAGAGAATATCTAGTGAGACTCTCTCTGTCAATTAGCTATAATTGAATGCATTTTATGTTTAAATAGTTTAAATTTTGCAGAATACCAGTAGGTCAACAGGTTGAGCTCAAGAAAGCTGCTGTCTGCTAAATGTGGTTTTATAGAATGTATTCTTTTGATCAAGAACTTTCTCTCTCATGATAAGATAGGTTATTAGTGATGCCACTTTAGGAATTTATATGCTGATAAATTTTGAAAGCGCCTCAATTTTGGTGAGGTAGTAAATATAAGAGTTTGTAAGTCGGTTATAAACAGAACATATATAAGAGCCTACATCTCTCGTAGAATAAATCATCTCTCGCCCTGATTTGGGTTGATGTCTGGGCCACTTGAACTGACAACAGCTGAAAGAGTGTGTATTTGTGGGGATATAAATATATATATTGCGTTTTGATTCCAATATAACCTTTTTGGCAATGATATATTTGGACAAATCTGAAGTTTGACCAAATGGAGATGAACAGAATCCATGAGTTACGAGTCTTAGACTAACAATATATATGATAGCACACTGATCTTTTGGGAAGTTAATAGAGTTCGGAAGTCAGGGTCACTATATTTCATGGAGGACATAAATCAGAACATACTGCTACTTTTTAGATTCTTATAAGCACTAAATCCATTACTAATTCATTCTGTTCAATGTTAAATGTCAATATTATAATGTTGACTGACTTGTACAAAGTATTTGCGCTAAGATATAAAAAAATAAGGGAAGATGTCTTAATAGACTACTGTTAGTTATTTGTTTACGCTAATCTCGTGTTGTGACAAGAAAGATAATGTAGACTGAGAAACAGGTTCTTGAATGTCCTTTAATGAGCTTATGGTTCCTTTTGTCACAGTTAATAGGGGAGAATCTTCTTACTGATTTTGCATCGATGCTATTCTGGTGTTTGCCACAAATACAAATTTGAGCTGGATCATCCGGTCTACGTACTTGCTTTAAACTGTTTGTGAATAATTATTATAATATACCATATGAATAAATTGTAGTTTTACAAATTGTCTCTGAATATGTTACATTGTGTGTGTGTGTGCCTAAAATTCTTTTGTTAACCTTTGGATAATTAATAATATTCGGAGACATAATCCTCTCCTCATCTTCAGAAGCTAACATTCCATTTATTATTTCGCAAGAATGTGGTTCTAAGTTGCACTCAGTATAATAGTGCTCTATAGGATCCATTTCGGCCCTGATCGTGTTTATTTGAGCCAACACATGGCTCACCATTATACACGTTTCCATTGTCTCTATGACAATTCCCTATAACAGGGAGTGTTAGTTTTTCCGGAATTGGCAATTCAAAAGTGTGAACCCAATGTTCATTTGCAAGATGTAAATCAGCAATGTTCTTAAAAACGACTCCATAGTTTAACCTTGATATGGACTTACTGCACGTTGCCGGCTGGGTGAAACAGAAAAAGAAGGTCAGGATCCAAATGAGCATGCCCCCAACTTTTAGTTCTCTTAAGGGTGGTTCTAAAAGAGAAAAAAAAAAATGCATGCAGGTTAGCCGGGTTGAATGGTGGTCAGCCATCATCCTATAGCACTATAGACACAAATAATTAAATTTGTAAAAGTTGGCTTAGCTACATGAAAAAAAAATTTTGATTTGGGGACCTGTTCCGAAACAAGGGAAAATAATTTATAGATAAGTACCATATGGATTTATCAGAGAATAAAAGTAAAGGCACTCCCAATCAAGACAATTTAACCCTCTATATCCTGTTTCTCCTCACGTGCTCTGCTGCGAGTCATCATCTTGTGCAATAAAGGTTTCCTAGCTGCTTTCCTTATAAGATATTCTTGCACATCCTCAATAGCGCATTTGTCCTTGTCAATCCATTTTCTGGACTTTTCGAACTGGAAGTGCTTTCTGCCATTTATGTGACAATCTCTTATTATTTTTCCAGAATACAAGTTGTTCTTTTCTGTAGGTATAACTATGGATTTGCCTATATCATTTATCATATCGGTTGTACTTGGGGGTTTTTCCTTATCATTGCCCTTATCAGGTTGATTGACATTTGTTTTCTTTGCTTGCTTTGGTTTTGGCTTAACATAAAGCTTCAATCTTGCAGCGTTTACGAGTTCTCTCATAGGTATTTGAGTCCTTGTGTCTACCAACCTGTATGTAAAATTTGGTCCTAACTCCTGTATAAAATACGGTCCAAGATGTTTTGGCATGAGCTTCGGTGACAAACCTTTCTGAGTTTTCATGTTTCGTAAAAGTACCCAGTCACCTACCTTAAAGTTGGGATCTTTGGATTTAGCATCATGACGAGTTTTGGACTTTTCCTGGGCAATTTTAAGATTATCTCCAGCTATTTCCCTTGCAACACCTAAGTTCTTATACAGTTGGTCGAAGAAAACAACTCCGTCCAATCCCATTTCAGTTTTGGGAATAAGCGAGGTATCAATTGGAAGGTTCATTTCTTTACCAAACAACAAATAAAATGGTGAAAATTGCGTTGACTGTGTGGAGGGGGACATTCGTATTGCCATCATTGCTGCTGGTAGAACCGAAGGCCAGTTATTTTGTTCCTTGTTGATATATGCCCTAAGAATCTGTTCCAGAGTGGAATTTAACCGCTCACAGGTCGAATTTGTTTGAGGGTGATAAGCACTGGTGTGATGTCTTGTAATGTCAAACATCTCACACAATGCCTTCACCAACTTAGACATGAAATTACGACCCCTATCTGAAACAAGAATCCTAGGTGCACCATATCTTGAAATGACTTGACCAAATAAGTGTTTTGCAACTGTACTTGCCTCCATGTTTTCCATTGGTATCGCTTCGCACCATTTACTGAAGCTTTCCACAACAAGAAGTATATATTGGAATCCTTCCTTTGATTTTGGGAGAGGTCCAATGATGTCCATGTCCGATCTTTAATACTGTTTATGGCATGTGGATTAACGGTACTGATGTGATGTGCTGATCGACTTAATCTTTGACAGGATATCACATTTTTGTAATGATTTCAAATAGTTTGGAAACATTTACGACTCAGAACATTTTATACCTTTATGTGCTGCAGATGATGGTCGCTGTATTCCAAGTGGACTCCTCCTGCAACACTTTATGTTTAGTAGATCTGACGGAGAATTAGTTGGAAACAGCCAGGTGTGGATATGGGTCTATCTTCAGATGTTAAAGTTTCTTACCTCGAGCTCAATGATATGATAACGCCATATGAAACCACATCTGCGGATGTTTTCAAATCTCTAAATTTACAGTTCATGTTAAATGTTGAATTCTGCTTAAGCCCGGTGCTAGGGCGTGGAGCGGTAACTGCACTTGGACTAGTACGTTCATGAGTCAATCAAACGAGCCTGGACATTTTCCAATTATTTTGCCGTGTTTATCTAATAACTGGTAGTTGTCACTTTCAAGTATTGTCTTCCTGGCTAGATTCTCCTTCTTTGGAAGTTCACCATTTTCTAGGTAATTATAAATATGTTTGAAATCCTCACATTCTTTTTGATACTTACTAATTTCATGCGTCTCCCATAATTGTTTTTCATTTTCAAGTTCTTTGTCTGAATTGGAATTTCTTAACTTTTCGTTGTTATTACCAGAGTCTGAGTCTTGTTCATTGAAAGTTTCTTCTAGCTTACCTGTTTCAATCTCCGTTATCTGTTTTTCATTTGATACGCTTATTTTCATTATGGATGGAGAATTGTCATAATTAAAGAATACTTCTACCTGTTCAAATACATCAATGTCTTCTTTTTCCGATTCCTCTTGAATGGTTTCTAGTTTCGGAAAAGTTTGTTCCTTTTCAATATCATTCACCGATGTGACAGCAGCAAACAAAGTCGACTCCTTATTTTTACTTGGTGCCGACATATGTTTACCTTTGTCTTTAGTAACCTCAACATCAGCTGGTGACACATGAGAGACATCATGGTCTACGATGGCTGTATTTCGATTCCACTTTCCAGTTGCATCAACTCTAGAAACAGACACACTTGACTCGACAGTATATTCACGTCGAGACAAGGCATCCGCATTCTGATTGACTCTTCCAGGTCTGTGAATGATATTGTAGTCAAAATGAGCTAGTTCCATGGACCATCTGTAAAGTCTACTATTGGAATTCTTTGTTTTGTCCAACCATTTTAATGATTTATGATCCGTGTATATATCAAACTTCCTGTGTGACAGATATTGTCTATAAGCTAATATTCCTTCATAAACTGCCAAACATTCTTTGTCAGATATGCCCCATTTTCGCTCATCCGAACGAAGAGCCCTTCCCCCGTAACTAACAACTCGTTCTTTGCCATCAGACCCCTTTTGGCCAAGTATATAAGCCAAAGCGGTGTCTGAGGCATCAGTGGTCAGTATGAAGGTATGGTTCATGTCCGGATAATGGATCATGGGGGCGGTAACTAATGCATGTTTTAATGATTCAAACGCTTCTTGATGTCTATTTTCCCAAATAAATTTCTTGTCTTTTTGTAAAAGTTCATTTAATGGAACAGCAATTTTGGAATAGTTTTTAACAAATTTCCTATAATAATTGCAAAGACCTAAAAATGACCGTAGAGCTCTTTGGTTTGTTGGAATTGGAAATTCATCCACAGCCTTAGTCTTTTCGCTATCTACCTGAATACCATGTTTAGAAAGGATGTGACCTAAATATTTTACTTTTTCTTGAGCAAAGTGACACTTTTCAGGTTTAAGAGTAAGATTTGCACCTCTAAGTTTCTGAAACAGTAATTCTAAATCAGACAAATGTTGCTCAAAAGTTGGACTAAAAACAAGAATATCATCAATGAAACACAATGCCTGCTTCCAGTTCATTGACCCTAGAACTTTAGTCATTAGCATTTGAAAAGACATAGGCGCATTTTTAAGACCAAAAGGCATCCTATCAAACTCATATATACCGGAAGGAACACAGAAAGCTGCTTTATGACGTGTTTTTGGGTCCATCGGAACTTGCCAAAACTCCGAGGCCATGTCTAAAGTCGAGAAGAATTTAGCTTGAGAGTCGCCAATACAGTCAAATACAGTTTCTAAAGTCGGTAAAGGGTGAGCAATACTAAGAGTGATACGATTCAGCTGCCTATAGTCTACTGCAAACCTATATGTGTCGTCACGTTTCTTTACAAGAACCACTGGACTATGCCAAATTGAGTTAGACTCTCTTATAATTTTGTTATCCAACATTTTCTGCACTTCTTCATCAATAATTTTCCTCTGTAGGGGATTTACTTTATAATATGGTAATCGGACAGGACCTTTACCAGGCTCAGTATCAACTGAATGACTGTACATTGACGTTTTCCCTATGTCTTTTAATGAAGAAGAGAAAAGATCTCTATTTTTCTCTAAAAATTCTTTCATTTTAAATTTTTGTTCTTGGGTCAAATCACATCTTGATAAATCAAACTTAAAAGTGTCACTTTGTTCCTCAACATTTATATTAGCACATTTAGATGATTTAGCACTTTCACCATTGCTCAAGTTAGAAACGTTTTGGTTAGTATCAAGGTCATTGGATGTTTCATCAATTTGAAATATATCACCATTTTCGACAGCAGTCAAGGTACCTACAACAGTGTCAACAGGCAGAAAAACAGGGTCATTTGTTACATTCATAATACTTATGACAGCTTTACGTTTCTTAACTCTTACTAGACATTTTGCACCTGCAAGGCTTTTCTTATAAAGTGAATCAGTAGGTTCAATTAAGAATATGCCATCGGTCTTGTTTCGGGAAACCTTTACCTTGATATCTTTCCGTGAATTGGCAGGAATGTTTGTACCATTAATTACTCTAGCTAACCCAGCATCAGTTCTTGACAGTTTAATGCCTACCAGATTGTCATTCTTATTTTTCAATGTTACTAAATTTTCCGCAAAATTGACAGTTACCCCGGAGTTGATGTTTGCAAAGAATGCACAGCTAAGTAGCGGGGTACTTAATCCTGGGACTACGATGGAAAGTTGGCGCGAGAAACTGGAGAGATTGTAGAAAGTAGAATATTTTCTGGGTAAATTTCGCCAAAATTTTGGTGTTTTAGCTCACGCTACGCCTGCAGGAACAGCGCTCGATAGTTTGCTGATTAGTAGTCCGACATTGGTTTCAAAAGGGGATTTTCTGAAAAGATCATTTGAGGATGCAAAAATGATCAGCCCGCAGGTGTCAGAGGTAGAACACTGAGTCTTTTGTTTGCCTCCCCACATTAGACATGAACTGTGTTTTTTATTTATCAGAGCATTATTGCGACAAAGGTAGAGTTTTCTGGTTTTCTGCCCTGCCGGTGCTTTAACCGTACTATATAGCGACGATTTTGGAGAGTCTTTTCATTTCTAGCCTCTAGTGCCTACGCTAGCAGGGGTTTCTGTAAGTAGGCATCTTATCCTATTGGTTGTCTGGTCCACAGGCATAGGATAAATGACCATAAACGTTACACAGGTGACAAGTTAAATATTGACCCGGACAATAATTATTTATGAAAAAGCTACATGTTCTAGCCTTACCTCTACATGAAGGACAGGTATTCTGCTGCTGGTTTTCATTAGGGTTCTGTCTGGTTCCACCTTGCTTCTGGAATTGTCTGTTATCTTGGTGCCTACGATAGGTAGATTGCTGGTGCCCCGAAGCACCAATTTCGTTTCGACGCACTGGCCCTTGACTACGATACCCATTTTCACGAGGTTGTCTATTTTGTGGCCTATATAAATGTTCCAATTGTTTCACCACTTTTTCCACAACTTTTTCTGTTAATGTTTCTAATTGATCTGCTGAGGTTGTGACAGCAGCTACTTTTACGGTTTGGTGCATTGTTGCACCTTCATAATCCACAGCCTTTTTCCTGGCTTCTTCTAAGGTTGTCGGGTTTTGTAATTTTACATATGTCAGGGCTTCAGATGATAGCCCCTTAACAAATAGTTTAACTTTTTGTCCTTCAGTGAGGCTACAATGTTTTACAGCACGGATAAAGTTATAATAATATTGCTCGACACTTTCGCTTTCACCTTGTTGAATTGATGGAATATCATCTTTATCCACTGTTGTGAATCTGTTACTTAGAGCTTCCTTTAGAGTTTTATAATCTTTGATTGAAGCGTCATTAGCAGCCACAGAGGAGTACCATAGACCTGCGTTACCTTTCAAGCAGTATTGTAAATCTAAATACCTTTGTTCCTCAGTTATGCCTTCTCTAGCACCTAATCTCTCAAATTGCTCCAACCAAGTATCAACATCTACATAACCATTTCCTTGAAAGGGATCCAGCTTGATGTTGCTGAGGTAGCTGGAGGTTGACATTGTGGCTTCAACTGCCGGTGTTGCTTGTCCAGATGTACTGGGGCTTGAGGTATGGAATGGATTGATTGGTAAAGTTACAAATGAGTTATGTCGTCTTGGAGGTCTAACTGGTGCTGCAACTGGTGTTGTTGGCGAAGATGAAGGATCTCCGGCACTTCGAAGGTTGTACCTATTCGCTGGGTGCATCAGACCAACCACTGTACCCACCACCTGTTATAACGCGGATTTGGACTGGGTGGGGAAACTGAAAATTAATATAAAATTCCAAAATCCAATATAAATTTAAACACAACTTTATTTTTAAAACGATGGATGGTGAATGATATAACAATATATTTTATAATAACATAGGTGAATTATAAAATAATTGCATAAGTATGTAATTAAGTAAAACTAATATTTAATTGAAATTGTAACATTGATGGTATACATTACATTCTTACAATAGGGGAAGAAGCAAAAATGATATACATAGTTATACAATTAATTTAACCAATATAAGTAACAATTTAGTAATTAGCTTGGCAGTGAAAAGGTATACCGAGATCTTGGTCGATGACTTAACCAGAGCGATTAGGTACTTAATTAAAATATAGAAATTAGCTGAATTATCTTGTTTAATTGACCAAGATTAATTTATTTAAAATGTATTTAATATGCACAAAGAACAAAATAATTAATTGAATCAAAACACATTGTTTGCAGATAAAAATTAAGATTTTAGATTTTAAGAAAATAGTATAAAATAATTCTTGTAACAAAAATTTAGCCTGATGTAATATAACAGATTTAGTTACAATAATTGATATATATATAATGCATGTTAGATTTAAATTCTCTATTCTTATATTTTATATTTTGTTACATTCTTTTTTTATACTTAAGAAATATCAAGGAAAGTAGATAGAATATTTCTTATTATAGCTACACAAGTTTTATCAGCATAATGCTACTTTGTACTATAAGTACTAACTTATACACACATTACAATGTTATATACAATAAAACTAAGAATAATAAATGTTAAGAAATAAATAAAATATCATAATTACAAAGAGTGCAATATCTTGTACAATATAAAGTTTTAAAAAAAATGATAATAAAAGAACATAGAAATAAATTTACCTGAAAATTAATATAAAATTCCAAAATCCAATATAAATTTAAACACAACTTTATTTTTAAAACGATGGATGGTGAATGATATCCACAAAAAAATTCACGGAGTTTTTATACAGAAAAGTGCCGAAAGCTGTGAAAAATAACAGGAAGCCATTTCCATTAACTATGCAAACATAAGTTAACAACAAATCACCTTTTTATTATTTGTGTTTGTGAAAAGTTATCACCCTGGCTTCCTTGTTTGTATAATAAACAAATTGGCTTGGACTTAAGCCTTTAAGAGTAATTGTAACTAATTAGTGCCACTATTAAGCAGGAAGACTTAAAATGCCACATTGTATTAAAAAATTTTACTTAGAGTTGTTTTTATAATATGGGAAATTTTTATATGTTTAAAAACAATTTTTAAGAAAAAGATCCTTATTGAAGTAAACTTGCAATTTACTGTAATTAATGTTTTTAACAAAAATTTATAAAAACATATAATCATTTTGATACTAAACATGACCATATTAACTTAAGGAAAAATATAAAAAATAATTACATATTACACATACAATACAATGTACATAAAAGTGAAATGACATTAACATAACAATGCATCAGTATAATTACAATAGTAATTAATAAATTTGCATAATAAAATTTACATTATAACACTTGTAACAGTATGATTCAAGATTATATCTACTTTTATATCATTGTAATTAAGTAATATTGGCATAGAATAACATATGTAGACATGTTATTTTTTTCAAAAGATTCAAAGTAAAATTAAGGCGACCTGATACATCCTATCATCTGTATGTAGTAAAATAGGTATATCAATAGTATCGTTTGACGCACATATAGTTCATTTTCCCCCATTAAACAGCCCTTGATCACTCACTTGAGATCCAATGCAAAAAAATTGCCATAATTCTTCTATATTGAAGTAAGAAATGATCATGTTAGGGGGATTATTTTTTCCACCACATACAGTTATGATTTATGAACTATTTGTAAATGTTCGCTTCAAAAGAACATGCCCAATATTTAGACACTCAGAACTGTTTCACATAAAAAGACTCGTATAGCTATAAATATTATAATTATATGTAGATTTTGACCCTATGCCAATAATTAATCATTTTTATATTGAGTATTACAGGACGATGTTACATGATATTTTTTCTGCTCTTGGTACTGTAGTTTTGGAGAGTATTTTTAAGACACATTTAAGTCAATGCAAACATAAGTAACATCCCAGGGAAAGCTACTGTAGACTGCAGGAGCATGATTTAAAGGCCAACCATGAGGGGTACTTAGTTTTGAAAAACTTGTATAGGGAGTCACATGTAAGTCCTCTTTTGATAAATAGAGCTTAGATATTCAACATATGACATTGCCAAGTAGAGCGGACCTCTTTAAAAGTTACATAAACTGCTCTTTGCATCACTTAGTGTACATAGCTAATAAAATAGTAAAAATGTTTAAATAAAAAAGTCTTCTCAAAAAGCAGAATGCATAGAGCATAGATACTAAGAATGAAGCATCATCTTGTGTCTTTAACATATTGAATGAATCTTGTTCACAGAGCCCACCGGGTTTATAGACATGTATAAGAAAACACGTTAAAAAACTTCT